TTAAAAATATTAATATACTAAACAGCGAAAATCCAAACGTGTTTATATCGATATTAATAACATTATATATAAACAGGCAGCAAGCAATTAATTCAAAGAGCATTAATAACATATCGTCCGGGGGAGATATAGACCTTGTAATCTTTTTTCTCGCAGGTGCAAGGATTAGGGAAATGAGAAGGCATTGAGATGTTCAGATAGGATGAGTTTCGGAGAAAAATGGACGAACTTCAACGTCGTCGTTGTCGATGGATAGGAATTTGCGACAAACATAACGGAGTATTCTCGCGTGAAACATATTACTTTGTTCATAGCCGATTATTAGCACAGTCCCGATCGAGTATCTTGTTCTCGAATACGCAAAAAACTATCTTTTATCGCAAGCGGAGTGCACTACGAAAAATTTTGTATTCTCAAATAGAAAAGGGAAAAAAAGTGATATACAGTTCTGGGCATACTTCGCGCAATTTCGTTCAACTAAAAGAGCAAAGGCAACGAAAAAAAATAATAAGTAAAAAAATACAAGAAGACTAAAATAAGACATACAAAGCACACAAAACTTTTTGGTCATTAAAGTGAACTTGTAAGAATCAATAAACAGTCTGTGCATCGTTTTCAGTTTCAATTATATTTCTTTTATTTGAATTCATCATCAATAAATTTCACGTGACCCGAACTCAGTGCAAGTCATCGTAGTACATCACAAATAGGTATTGTTATGATTACTAATTATCATCGTTATTGTATGTTACCAAATATTATAATAAGTATTACCGTAAGTTCAACTGTAGTTAGTTTAATAAATCGATCGTATATTTCCGATTTCTATCTGCAATATTTAATTAAACGATATTACATTGCGTATATTCTTACTTTTTTCGTAAACGTTTTTTTTACTTAATCGTAAATACGTGAAATCGGTCATGTATTATCTCGGATGAGGGATAAGGAGGATGCTATCGTTCTCACTATGGTGATAGAGAATGAAAAAGACGAGAAAGGAAAATAGGTCGTTGCAATTGTTTCATACGAGGTTATATAATCTAATAAGAATTGTAAAAACTAATAAAAAAAAATTCTCGAAATTCGTATTGCTAAATCGCACCGAAATGATTCATTGTTTCGCCCAGGCTGGAAATTTTGTGAGCGCAAAATTAGTTATCGCCTTGTTTGAGAGCAGTCGATCGAACTTGCAACATCAATCGCTTAGATAACCGACATATTTAGAAAAAAGACATCACAGTATATGGTGTCTTAAAATGCGATCCAAAAAATCGCGGTCGAATCCGTTGCAGTGAATTACATTAAGTGTGGTGAATTTTCTTTCGGCTTTTTTGCTCTATCGGTTTCTGCGATACAAAATACAATTAATTAATTTATTTATTAACCTACCTACTATATACACATATCACTATGTGCGTATGCACGGATGGACCGGCGCATGTAAGCGTCATGTATCTGTATATGATTCTGCATACGTACATAAATCTATATTTCTTCGAACGCTATGAAGCGTTTGCACTGCGAAAATCACGTCTTCCTACAATCGCAATGACTCGCAAAACGTTGCGAAAATTTGCGAAATCCGTTCCTTTATTTTCGCGACTGACATAATATCAATAGCCTCCCGTGATGATAAGAATTATTAGCGGAATAATAATCACATACACAGACACGACGTACAAGCACGTAAATAATAAAATCAATCGACATGAACTGATATACGTCTGTACGTTAGTCATCCTCGATTCTCCTTTCCCGGTTTTTCTTATCAAATAAAAATAAAAAAAAGTGAATTATTTTAATGCGCCGTAATTGCCATCCTTTGTTACCTTTGACTAGGAATGCTGGTGTTAACACTACAACGGCTACCACAAATCTATTATGTTACTCATCATTTAAACAAATTTATTTGGTGTAAATTTTTCTTTATTCCATCAATAAGATCATATTAGTATCCAAAATTGACATTTTAAACATAGATTTAGAATTAAACCATTGATCAAGTGTCAACACTTTCGTTTTCAAATTATTTCTAAATACTGAAAAAGAGATTTTAATGTTGTCTTACTTACATATAGCGTTCGATAATTTAATAATATAGTTTAGTAAAATTTTTTTATATTAAATAATACAGTTTATTAAAATTTTTGAAATTACTTTATAAGTTCTTAATTCGTTGCTATTCATTAATATCGCGCATTAAGAATCGTGTAACTACCAAAGAGAGCTTATTTTATCAGAATGTAAAATATAAATTTATATATTTTTTATTCGAATATTCGTGATACGTCATCGTGTCGGGAATCAGTGTATTAAATTCGCCTTCCACGACAAGCAGTTGATTATTTGCAAAGTGAATTTACCGAAGAGCACCTCGCAAATGGACCGGCGCGAATTTTCGTGCCGATATCGCGCCGCTGTCTCGATTTTACTCATACCCCACCTCGCGAAAATTACCTCGCACGAAGGCTGCCCCCGTAAAAACCGACTCGCGAAACTTGTTAATTTCGCGAGTGCCGCCGGGCGAAAAGGGAAGAGAGACGATGGCAGCGGCTCCGGGGAAATCTGCGAACTAGCGCATTAGAAAACTCCAGGTGCATGCGGATGCGAAAGTTTCGCGAGGCGATCTTGTTATTGTTTCTGAAACGTTTCTCGCGTTCTCTTACTCCAGAGCCCGCGCGTCGAAGGCTGAAGCAATATTACACGATGTTATCCCGGATCTTTGCCGAGCACGCTTCGCGAAAACCGCGTTCTAATTCTGGTCGGAAAAGCTTCGTTCACTTTTACCAAAGTGCTTATAGAAATAGGATATAATATTACGCGCTACGCTAACCTACATTTATATCTAAATATCTTTGTAACACGTATATCTATACGAAATAATTAATTTAAGGAATAGACGTTTCATAGAAGTGGCTGAATTTTAGTGCGACTGTCAGAAATAAGCTTCTACGAAATGCTCGCGCTGCAAAATGGATCATTCTTGCGATAGTGCGAAATAAGATGGAAGATAAAACGAGTACGACACATTTTCGTTTGCATCGCTCGGCGACGACATTTTGATGACCTAAAGAAATCAATGATAACGGTCCACGCGGCAAAAACCGTGTACAATGGTACATGCAAGACTGATAAATTTCTCACTTTTTATACGATGTATCGAAAATGACGACAATCGCGTGTCATAGTTCACGTAACGTCGAATCAACCTGGCGTTTTTCCACACAACTGATATCGTCAAATACATAAAAAAATAATTGTCCACAAAGAGAAACAAAATTCATATTTGTTTTATAAAACTTGACAAATTGACAAAGGAATGCCGATGATCAATAAATGCTAAAAATTTTCTGTTTTTTATACAAATTTACACGTGTAATAGTAATTTATTTTTTTAGTAAATATGTCTATAAAGATTTTCTAAAACAAAAGTGTATAATAATTTGAATATTAACAGTAATAACAATATAAAATATTAATTTTGCACGAATTTGTTAGTCGCACATTTGTGAATCCGTCTACTTCTATCAATCAGTCATATATCCTGCTCTCTATGAATTAATCGTAATTAATCATCACGTCTTGTCGTTGCCGTTATAATTATCTGACTTTTATGAATTTACAATCTTTTCGATACCTTTTAGACCTTTGTGCCGCTCACGATCTGTACGTATCTATTTCTATCATATATCTTAAGTTAGAGTTGCTTTGTCGCCACGTCTCTCACCATATACTGATATATTACTGTTCACAATTGCGTCGCTTCCTCACAAATCTTCGCACTACAAAATATATGCACGAAATCTTTGTTGTTTTCGCAATTCGATTTCCCGTTTTTCCCCCTTCCTTGTCGCCTTTAGTATCGAGTTTGCTTCGTTTTCATGAAATTCAATGAACAATCTTTATATTCATCTATCGCGCAAATTATTTGCCAAAAAATCAATCATACACGGGATTAATCGCTATCGTTGTTGCAATTGATTTGATATCGATATGAATCGCAAAGTCGTTTCAGACAACACCGCTCCGGTGCTCACTACAGTCGCGCTAATCTCGATACTATCGTCTCTAACGCTAAGCTATATATCCCTCTTCGCGATCGAACACGTGACGTTAGTATAATCGAATGAGCGTATAGAAATATATAGCGCTTTGTAACTCTAACTAGACACTCTCAAGATTTCTCTCATTGTAGTGATTCTGATGCTCGTAATTCGCACCATAAACTCGTTTTCCATACAAACGTCCGATTTCCAGCCCGGGGGCCATCGATGCCCATCACCATCGATCGCTGTGTCGTGCGACGAACGTAAACCATCCGGCTCGCGTAATCAGATCACCTTACGGATCCACGCGGCGTAAATTACTGTAATTAGCGACGCGCGTCTAACCCGTCGGCGAAATCAGGATATTCCCGGTGCCCGCTGCAATTTCATCCGTTGTCATCGTTATGCTCTAATCACCACGGGCGTTCCATTACGTCCCGACTGATTAATCCACCCGACGCACTACATTCACAATAAAAAAAAAAACAAAAATTGGAAGAGAAAAGAAAAGTATAAAAAGGAAGAAAATAAAGACAAGTAATGTATCGGCGCGATGTCTATCTATCTTATCGTACGATCAAACGCGTCGTCGACATTCGGCGGCGTCGAGAGCCAATCTGAACATCCGTATGTCGAATCACCCTAATAATACGCGTGAACGTAAATGAGATTGTGAATAGGATGATGATGGGCGTGGGGATTGTGCAAGGGGGTACACAGGGATGTCGTGGTGATGGTGGTGGGAGATGGTGGATGATTGACAGATTGCATCGTGGATACGGGCGACACCTGATTGGGGGGACCGGCCGGCACTTGGTACACGGTATTCGGCGCGGCCATCGGGCACCTTGAGGCCCCGGCTGCGCCGTGTTGGGCCCCATGCTGTTGTTGTTGTTGTTGTTGTTGCTGTTGTTGTTGTTGTTGTTGAATGTAGTTTGGTGGTAGACATACCTCGAGGCGGTCGGTACGTGGCATCTTCTGCGGCATCGCCACTGTCTGCGGTACTACGCCGAGCGGACTGCCGACACCCGTTGGGTCCGCCGGGCCCATTATCGCCGGCATTATTGGACTGGGCGCGAAGTACGGGCTGTATGTATTGCCAACCTGCGGCATACCGGTCAGGTACGGATTCGTCGCCTGTGAAAACACACCCGGAAGATATCCAGGTAACATGGATTAGAATACACCTGTCCCCACCTTCGCTTCACGCGTTTTCGATTGTGCATGTCGCGATTATGTGCGCGCGCGCGCGCGCGCGCGGTTTCCGTACTGCTGATACGCGTACCTTATACCTAAACAGAGAGTATTTGGTAATGGATGGTGCCGACGGAAAATACATGATTTCTCATTATAGAGTAAGCCGATTTGCAAAACTAACTTTTAAGTGAAAATACCGTACTTTTGAATTATTTACACTAAAAGTTGATAACGTGTAAAAGTAGGATTACTACTTTCGAAAATATACCTCGTAGAAAATATACTTTACGAATGTTATAAAATATTACATTACAATCAATAATAGAACTAAAAACAAAATTAATTGAAATACAAGTTCAATAAATCGAGAACCTCGAGATTTACATATTCTACATTCATTGCATTATTTTACATTTATGCCATCTCTCTCCATCATATTGTTTAAATTATGTAACAAATATATGCATTCATTCTATGCACTCAATGATAATCAGGACAAACTGTAAAGTAAATTTTTATTGTAAATAATTTATTGTAAATAATTGGTGTATAAAGAGAAAGAAAGAG